GTCAGGAGGGCGAAAATGGAAGCAAGCAGGTCAAGACCGAGACCCCGATCGACCGAGCCAAGAGCCTGATCACAAAATGCCTTCGAGATGCGGGGACTTGCAGGCCTGGTAAATCCACACACACGCACACACACACACACACACTTCAACTCAATGCGAGTACTGAACGAGACATTTTCATATTGCTTCTCAAACTGATGCCACTTAAAGTTTTCCAACTTTCATCCAATTACCTGTCAACAAATCTAGTTATCCACCTGAATTCTCTCCAGTTCCATTTTGGGGGCAAACCTGAAGGGACCTGGCGTTTCGCTTGAAGCCCCTTGAGATGTCCGACCAACTCATCAACCACTTGAAGGCCATCGAGCTACAGCTGCAGAAGCAGGGGAGGGTCTTGCAGGATGGCGTCAACGCAAACAAAGACAAGTGGAAGTACTACAACTGCGCCATTGATGAGGTAGGGTGCTTCTTCCTTTAACTGATGTCTTTGTGTGGAACTAATGCACATACCTTTTTTTTACACACTCTTGATGGTTTTATCCAATGTTTGGTTTTGGTCACTTGCCGCTGCCGGCCAGGTCCAGCGATTGAACGAGTTGGCCAAAGCAAAAGTGGAATTGGCAAAAGCCTTGCTCCGCGCTGCAGAGAAGGCTAAGCCAAAGAAAACTGGCACCTCTACAAAGGAGGATGAGGGCAAGTCGCCCACCAAGAAAAGGAAGACTGCCTGAAGCATTGTATGTTCCACCCAAAGGGTGGCATGTGCTGTGCCTCCCACGTACATGCGACGGGCACGCTGCGGCGTGAAAAATTAAGGACCAACATGTTATCAGCAGCTTTTTTTGCACCTTTCACAAGGGATGGAACCTTTTGCATAACTCATGGCCGAAAACTCCATAGTCCAAACCAATGTGCCCAGCGTGCCATGTCTCATGTGTGGTTGTAGGCTTTGAGACATTTCCCGGGGTCATGCAGCATTGTGGAATCACCTTCAAGGCTGCTTAGAACGATCCATGCTGATCGCCGCACGCGGGGTTTCCGAAGAGAAAACTCAGCCGAGCAGTCTGCTCTTGATGTATAAGGGTTTCATGAGTCACTCATAGTTCATTTTAAACCACGCAGGTGCCGTTCCCGCTCCCGCTCCCGAACCCGGTCTCCTTCATCGTGCCATCGTGGCCGGCGCCATGATCTGACCTCAGCCGCATCCGGAAAGCGAGGATGTGGGGGCTCCATTTTCTTTGTTGTAGAATTTTGCCAAAACACTTCGAATACCTGAGAAGGACTCGCAGACAAAACTCTAAATTTCTGTCATGATAATTTTGGGGTAGTGAAGGGCCAAGATCCTTTATCAGGCCACCCCGGCACCCAACCCTTGTTTTGCCTTTGGAGGATTGGAAGTTGTGGAAACAGCTTCCTATAGTGGACGGAGGCTCCTGAAGAAGATCTGCCTTGGGGTGCCTATGGGCCAAATTCCAGTTTCCCAGCCAAACACCTTGCAAAGGCTTGGTTGTTTAGACATGGTCTTCATAAACCGTGCAGTGTCAAAAGCATTCCAGAAACATAGAAAATTCCAAAGCTTCCTTCTCAAACCATGTTGAGTGTCGATCCCTGGCAGAAAACATCGGCTGCCGAAGCCTGCAGAGATGCTGCTGGCTTGCTACAAGACGATGCTGGTTGCGATCTGGCTCACCTGCTTGCCTCGTGGTCCCGGTCTGGTCATGAAGAACGTTCCTTTGAGAGGACCGCTTCTGGGAAATCGTGTTGTTTTGGCCATTACATTCTCCCAATTGGTCTGTTGATGTTGCCCCGGCCACTTACTTTTACAGCACAGTGAGAGAGAGAAACAACCATAAGATACATGTTTAGTAGTCAAGTTAAACCCCGGCTTCTTCTAGAATTGCGTGACAGACTTGTTTTGTTTCTTGAAAGCCGCATTGGGCCCAAGGTGGTATGAAAATTGGACAAGGCTCCCCATGGATAACGTGGCCATACCGCATCTCATGGAAGTTGAGGGCGAAGCTGGGGCGAGGCTGGAAGTGGTTGACCGGGACATTCCTGCAATCTGGCCTTGGGAGTTGCTGCGTTGGCGAGATGAGACTGGCCACCTTTTGGAGTGGGTCGCTGACAACCCGAATGATGCGAAGTTGAAATGCTTGGCATCTTGTCAGAATGTTTGGCTTCCTGGAAAGGGTTTTGGTCAATCATGAATGAAAGTTCCATACTCATATTATCAGTGCTCGTTTGGATACGTTGAACTTCCCATAAATCTTGATTTGTTTCACGCAGCGTGCTTCATGGCCAGCCTTGCTCAGTGTGAGGAATTCTGGGAACACATGTCACAAGAAGATTTTATTCGAGATTTGGATCTGTCTGAGCCATCAACCACGGTGCCGATTGCAATACATGTTGACGGAGTCAAGATCTTCAAGAACCAGAAAGCATGGATCTATTCATATTCATCCATGACCAGAAAAGCAGGTGATAGTATTTGCAACAAAATGGTTATCTTGATCTTGCGGGACTCCTTACTTGCCAAACCCCATACACATGACACTGTTGCAAAAGTGCTGGCGTGGGTCTTCAAGACTTTAGGAACTGGCAAACACCCTCTTTGTGACTGGAAAGGGCGCTCCTATCTTCCTGGGACGCGACAGCATGCGTTGGCTGGAAGGAGATTCACTACTGAGAACTGGAAGTGCCATTTCGCCGCCTTCAAAGGGGACTTAGAAGCAAGGGTCATGATTCACAAGCTGATCAGAAATTATATGGCCAATATGATTTGTGAGCATTGCCCTGCCGGAAAATTGCTCAACTACCAGGACTTCCGAAACTGAGATGGAATTAGCCTGAACAAGTTGCGTGTTGGGATCAACCTGAGTTGGGGCACTGGTGCTGGTTGGTTTGAACGTTGCTTTGTGTTTGCTATAGCCAAGGAAAGGAGGCGCCGTGGTTCGATGTCCGTTTCTCTCATCAGGTTTTCCTTGACCTCAACCCTCCTCACCGTCAATCAGCTTGGGTGGCTGTGCCGGGATGGCGCAAATGTCGGAATCTTGAGGCCCAGCTTGTCTTAAAAGGTTTGTGGTTTGACCCCAACGGTTTTGTGAAGCTAAGTGTCTCTTAGATTGGTTGACCCAGAATTCAATATCATTATTTTCATAAAGCTTAGAAAAGGAATGTGAGAGACCCTGGCAGGATTTGCTACACACAGTGCATCAAGGAACCAGTTTGTGTGCCATCCCTGCTTTGATCCTGGACCACCTGCAAGCCAAACATCCCGATGCGACTCTGACACAGCTGGAGCATCTTTTGTTGGGAGTCTTTCGGCACTACAAACGCTGGTGCAAGAACAACAAGATTTCAGCCAGTAGCTTGCGGTTCAATCTGAGCAGATTTGGGAGGGAATCCTGGCAAACCATCCCGGAACTTTCGTCGCAATACAAGGCCAGCACTGTGAAAATCATGCAGTATTGGCTGGCGCATTATTTATTGGAAGAACCCGCAGTTCCAGGTGCCGGAGACCGGCGTTGTTGCAGTTACGCGCTAGCCATGTTTCAATTCATGCTTGACAGTCACAAGGAGTGGTTTGTCCAAGGGGATGCCGTGAAAACAGCTGACTATGGGTACAAGTTTTTGCTGTTCTACCAGAAACTGGCAGGGAGAAGCCGTGCTGAGCCCAAAAAGAATTTCAAGGTGGTCCCCAAGTTCCATTATTTCTTTCACATGCTGGAATACATCGAGCGAACGTTGAGGAATGTGCGGCGGCTAGGAACATCTTAGCACAGTTGTTCTTTCAACGTCTCGGTTGTTAGCCTTTCCTGTGGGCAACAACGTTTCTTTGGACATCGAAACTAAGGTATGAACACTGTTATGCAGATGAGTCTCTGATGGGCCAGATTGGTCGCATCGCTTCCCGCACCCATGCGTTGAGAATGGAGCGAACTTGCTTGCACAGATACCGCGTGTTGCTGGACTGTTTCCTGGGGTCCGGGCTTCAAGAAGAAAGGCCCGAGGCATGACGTGAGGCGCTCATGGGCTGAAAAGTGGCTGCGTGTGGCGCGCCCGGATTGCAGGCCTGCAGGGGCCCCGGTTAAAACCGCAGTTTGTTTTCTCACCAACTCTGCCCCCTCAATCAATCAGTCCTCGTTGAGCTGTCCCTTAGCTCCCATCTTTTCGGTTTGTGACGGCCACGTACATGTTTTTCCATTTCCTGTCTCACACCTAACGTATCTCATACGTGTGTACAAATATACAAAACGAAACAGTTTATAGGTAACATAGACAAACCAAATATGTGGCTCAAGTGGATCAAGCGGATCAAGCGGATCAAGCGGATCAAGCGTCTCACACCTAACGTATCTCATACGTGTGTACAAATATACAAAACGAAACAGTTTATAGGTAACATAGACAAACCAAATATGTGGCTCAAGTGGATCAAGCGGATCAAGCGGATCAAGCCGCTCATGCGAACGCCCAGGCGCCCGGGCGCCCGCCGCGGCGCAGATCTATAGAATGCTCAGTGAGATTGTACGCCCCATAGTGTGCGCGCTGTTCAGGAACAACAAAGCCGGGGTTCCTTCATGGACCTGCGTAGCTGTTGTGTGGTTAACTATGACAACACGTGTCAGCAAGTATAGGCATGCCCATGCGTCTTTGCAACTTGCGCGACGTGTCTACGACGCCGCGAAAATCCAATGTTGTCATTCTCGCAACTTCACTTCATACACCTTCGCGAACATGCCAAAATGACAACTTCGGGCGGTCTAGGTAACGGACCTGCTGGCGGACTCGCTGGCCCTCACGGGCTCGGCCACGCTGGACGGGCTCACCGCGCAGGGCAACGTGGGCTGCGACCAGCTGCTGTGCAACGACGTGAACTGCACCGACGTGGTCACCACGGGCGTGGACGCCTCGGGCGCCGTTTCCTGCGCAGCGCTCACAGCCACCGGCGCCGTCGCCGGGGCCGCGCTGTCGTCCACGGGGGCCGTGTCAGGCAGCTCGCTGAGCATCAGCGGCGCGGCCAGCGTGGGCCTGCTGAGCTCCGCCACGGGAATCACGGGCAGCACGTTGACCATCAACAACACGGCCAACGCCGGGAACTTCACCACGGTGGGCGACGTGTCCACAGGGACATTGACGGCCTCGGGCGCAGCAACCGCGGCGAGCTTCGCAGCCACCGGCGCGCTCACAGGCGCCACGCTGACGATCACCGGTGCGGCCTCCACGGGCCCGCTGGACTGCGAGAGCCTGGACTGCACCTTCACGGCCACGAGCGGTGGAGTGTCGACGGGCAGCGTGGTCTGCGGCGACGTGACGAGCTCGGGCACGGTCTCCGCGCCGCAGCTCTTCGCCTCCAACACGCTCACCGTGACCAACCTCCGACTTCTCGGACGATCTCTTCTTGACGAAGAACTGGGCGGGCTGGAGCAAGCTGCAAGTGTCCAACAACAGCGCGGCCCCCGACAGCGGCCCGGAGCTGCGGTTGCTGGGCAACCAGAGCGCGAGGGTCTTCCTGGAGCGGGACGGCGGGACGCACCAGTGCGAGCTCATCATGATCAACGATGAAGCGCTGGTGCAGACGAAGAGCCTCTCGACACAGCTGTCCTTGACCACGAACCAGAGGAACCCCGGCTGCCTCGTGATCGCGGGCAACACGGGCAACGTGGTCTGCAACACGAGCTTCACGAATCTGTCGGACAGCAGGGTGAAGACGGAGATGGCCGAGGCCGAC